AGAAACTGATCAAGAACACTCACTCTGCCTGACCCTTTTTGTCGGCCAGTGCCGCACACTGAAATTCCAGACCAGAAAGTGAAGATACGAGAAGAGGGAGATGCTAATTGGTTGGTCACCGATCAGGCAGGCCCAGTGGCTGGGGCTGCCCCTGGCCTAGAGCCAGGATATCTTCTCCTGCCTCAGAGACAGGTCCCCCAGGCCAGAGCCGAGGTCTGGGAGGCTGCAGGGGGCTCCTCCAGTGTATTTGTGGGAGTCTATGGGGATGCTGTTTTTGGCAGAGCCCTCCAGGCAGGACCTTCTCTCGAGGGGGTGCAGAGCTGCCCCCCAGCCCGTGCCTGCAGGCCCCTGACAATCTCCCCACATGCCTGTCCTCAGAAGCAGCTGTCCTGCAATGGAGGCAGGGACAAGGGCAGGTGCGACATTGGCTCGTGGGGTTCACAGCAGCCTTGCTCATGGGACCGAAGATCAGAGATGGACTGTCCAAGCCTGCGCTGGCCGTGAGGGGGTGGGTTAGCAGCCACTGACCAACATCTGGACTCCACGGGTGCATGAAAAGGCCCATGTGAACCGGGGTCACGCGAAAGGCAGAACACTAAGTGTACGCAGAGCGTTTCTAATCGCTGTCAAGTTGATTCTAACTCCTGGTGACCCCATGTGTGCAAAGCAGAACTGTTTCACAAAATGTCCAAGGCCATGGCCTTTCAGAAGCAGAGACAGGCCTGGCAAGGCCCTTCTTCTGAGGAAGCTCTGGATGGGTTTGAACTGCCGACTTTTCAGTTAGGAGTCCAGTACTTAACCACATACATACACCCCCAGGGAGCCTGCACACAGACTATAATGATGTAAAAACATTTGTAAAGCCCCAGTTACCATTCCACCTCCTCCAGAAAGCTCTCTTTGGTTCCCCAGCCTGGATGAGGTACCCCCCCTGGTACCCTAAGTATCTCCCCCCCACTGCCCCCATCACATCATCCCACAATCTTCTATTTAGGTCAGTCTCCCTATCCTGCAGACTGTGAATTCAAAGGAGCCAGTTGCTTTAGGTATCTGGTATCCTCGGGCCTGGGGTAGATGCTCGGTTAATGCTTATCAACCAGAGTGAATTTAAGAGAATTTAAGACGTTCCTGGGTGATGCTCCGTCACTAACCCAAAGGCTGGCAGTTCAAGTGCCCTCATAGGTGACTTGTAAGAAAGACCTGGCACTGTGTTTCTGAAAGATCAACCATTGAAACCCCGTCCAGCGCGCACCCCTGCTCTGACACACTTGGGGTGCCAAGACTCAGAGTTGACAACAACTGGTTTGTTTCTTGTTTACGAGGATTTAAGAATTGATGTCCACTGGAGCTGTGGTGGCGTAGTGGGGAAGGCACTTACCTGCTACTAACAGTGTCAGTGGTTCAAACCCACCAGCTGCCCTGTGGGAAGAAGATGAGACAATCTACTTCCATAAAGATTTAGAGCCTGGGAAACCCAACAGGGATTGCTGAGTGAGAACCAACTCAGTGGCAGCAGGTTTGGTTTTTGTGGGGCTCACTGAAGTCCTTTTAAGTTTCTGAGTTCAAGGAAGGTACTGACGCCTGGCCAAGGTAGGAGTTGGCAGCGCTGCTTTGGGGTTTTCCTGGTGTGGCCACAGCACAGGTGCCAAGAACCACAGGCCACGAAGGGACCTTTGCCAGCTCCCAGTCTTTGCTCTGGGCACCTTCACTGAATCTCTGAGCTACGCGATATGGACACCAGACGTGCAGGGCTGCTGGTGCAGAGAAAGGGCTCAGAGGCTGCTTGTCATTCATCCCCCACGTACCAAACAGCAGCGTGCCTACTGCATACCTGGCCACGGGAGCTCCTGGCCCAGGAGATGCCCTGCCCTCAGAGAATTCACAGGCCTGTGACATCTGTCCCTGGGGCCACTGTATACTGGGGTCAGAAGCTGGACACGTGCAGCCTTTCCCACTGGGACCCCCTGCGGCCACAATCAAGCCACCCCAGCAGCTTCCGGTGTCCCCATTGAGAAGACCTGCTTTGATGTGCTTTTCCTTTGGAAAGATGAGGAAACGGTCCATGTGGCTTTGGCCGTCCTTGGGCCCAGCGGAGACAGGGCTGTGTTGGGACCACATTTCAGAGCATGGCCCGACCCCGCGCCTTCCTGGAAAAGCCATATCCAGAAAGGGCAGAGGTCAGCAGTCTGGAACCAGGATGGCACCCATGGGAAGAGCAGGAAGGGGGGGTACCACGGGACCACTCTATGCACAGGACCACAAGAGGGCAGGAGTGGACCTTGTGGCAGCCACGGGCCACTTACACAGAGCACAGTGTGTCCCCGCCAGCAAGGTGCTGCCAGAGAGCTGGGGGCAGCCGGGTGGGGTGTGTACATGGGGACACAGACCTCCTGCCCCTCGACCTTCAGAATGTCCACCTTGAGGCCTGCCCAGTGCCAGCCTGGCCCCAAGCACCAGGTGGGGAGGAACAGGAGCGACACCTTGGGGACAGAGGTCAAAGTGCACGTTTATTTTCTAGAACAAAGGCTAAAAGGAGCAAATTTCTTTCATTTTATTTTAAGGACAAAAATTGTTATTAAAACATCTACATTATTATCAAGATACTAGACCTTATGAATATTTAATATTAAAGTGTGGTATTCTTTTATTAAGTTTTAATACACAGACACCTTTAAAGGACCATTAAACTGATTACTGCCCAGCTGAGAAATGCAGCCTCCCCGGCCCCCATCACAAAGGGACACTCACGTTAGTGGTACCACCCTCATCACCTGTCTGCCATGCCATCTTGTCCTGGGGGTGGGTATGAGCCCAATTCAACTCGCCGAGCCTCCGGGCCCTCCCTTAGAGGGGCCAGTCTATTTCCCTCCTGACACTCCAGCTTCCCCTTCTCGTCCCAGCCCTGGCCAGGCCAGGCCACCCTGGATTCCAAGGCCCCCGGAAGGTTGGAAGAGAAAAATCTGGATTCGAATCCTGTTCTTTTGGGTGGAGACGCACACCTCGTTCTCTTTCCCTGAGCACTCGCGCTCTCTCCCCACTGGGCTCTGGTGGCCTGGGAGATGACCAGGCAGAGGTGGGCCAGGTGGGGGCCACCCCACCCCCAAATCACCTCTGGCCAAGTCCCTGTCTCCTCCCATCCGGCCACTGATGACCCAGAAACACTTCCAATCATGCCAGGTGGCTGCATTTCCTGGCCAAGTCCTTTATCTTCAGCCTTCATTAGAAGTGACCCCTTGGATACCACACACATATATCATATTATATAGAGCGATATATTTAATACCTGTGTATATATGCATCAGGGGGCGACATATATACACACTAGAAACAAGGCTGGTGACGACAGACTGCAACACCACGGACCAGGGGACAAGTGTCTTCAACATTCAGGACCACAGCCCCCGCCTTGGGTGTGGTTGTTCCTCCCCCAACCATGCGACCAGCACCCAACTCCTCAGTGCTGGCCGACTGGGGGTGGGTCAGGGAAGAGGAAAGGGTGCATGCCACGGTTATTGGGAAAAAGGTGGGCGGTGGCAGCGAGAAGAACAGGGTTCCTGGCTGCCAGTGCCCCTCGTCACCTCATCCTCACGCTGTCAGTCGTTGCTCAAGGAAAACTAAGGGGTCCTGTTCTCTCCATCTCACCCCCAGCCCAGCCTGGGTCCCTGGTTCCTTCTGGGGGTGCCCACTCCTTGTGACAATGGAGTGGGGTATTCTGGAATGTCTGGGGAACCGAGGGAGGCGGGGTCTGCCCGTGGGGGAGGGATGGAGAGGAGGGGGTGCATACATGTCAGACGAGAGGGACAGGAGAGGGCTGGGAGGGTGGGGTGGGGCTGAGGGTCAGCTGGAGTCCCAGGCAACTCAGGGATCAGGGCGGAGTTGGGACAGATGGTCATAACTGAATTCTGGGTCTATGGAAGAGGACCCTGCTGGGCCCCCAAGACAGAGGGGTAAAGTCTAATTCTGGAGTGGCCCTTGGTGTCCAAGGCTGATCTCTCCTCTCCACCTCCCTGCTCACCCCCATGCAGATCCTGAGCTCATCAGTGGACTGTCCCTTATCACTTCTCCTTAGAGGCAGCCGGGGCTGAGATTTTCAGTGGGGACGTAACCTCTCCTGCTACCCCTATACCCACTCTCAAGAGGGACAAGTCCCTTCCCTAGCCTGCAGCTGCCTGGACCCCAGCTGTGCACCCCACCGCTGCCCACCCATAATGGGCCCTGAGTCTCTGCTTCGTGCTGTGGGCTGGAGACCCTGGCAGGTTGCGCTTCCCCTCTGGGCCTCAGTTTTTCTATCTGCGAAATGGGGGTTTGGGCGGGAGCATCCCCATAGACTCTGAGGAGCTAGCATCCACATTCAGGGCCCACGATGGAAGGGCCTGGCAGGGGGCTGTCATTGGAGAGAACATGACCCCTCACTCAGGCTGCAGGGATCATCCAGCCTAGCCCCTCCCTCCTCCCACCCAGAGGAGAAACTGGGGCCTGAGGGGTAGGCGATCAGTAAGTCTTCCCAGCTCCATCCCAGGGTGACATTTTAAAGCTAAAGGGGCCTCCTGCCTTAGGCTGTGTCCTGATCTAACCTCAGCGAGGTGAGGGGGCTGGGGCAGGGAGAAGGATCCTCCTGCTGCAGGTTCAAGTGGGGACCCCAGGCTCCCCAGCCCTGAGTGTTGGGCCCCCTTTAGGAGTAGACAGAAGTTAAAGCTGTAGGCTGAAGCTGGAGGGGCCAACAGGGCTCCCTCCAGCCAGGAGAGCCCTGCGGTGAGGGGTGGCTGTCCAGGGTTGCAGCAGGACAAGGACCCTGGGGCCACATGGGCTGCAGCGCATTCACCTGGGTCTGCACACCTGGGCAGTGGGGGCAGAGAGGACGGACGGGTCCCAGGGGGCTGGGGGCTGCCTCATGAGGGCAGCCCCCAGCCCCCAGCCCCAGCCTGCCCTGGCCCCTCTTCCAGGCCCTCTGTCTCAACCTTGCCCTGACCCAGGACTTGACCTGCAGTCAAGACCTGGCCCTACTCCCCAGTGGTGGTGGTGGTGGTGGTAGTGGTGGCGGCAGCGGTGGTGGCAGGGGCTTCAGGGACAGTGGTGTCCCCACCCTCTTGCAGCAGGAAGTTGTACTTGCCGAAGTCATCGTCCCGTGGGCACAGAAGCATGTCCTTGCGGGCTTTGGCCAGCTTCTGCTTCAGCACCTCCCGCCGGTCCAGCCACTCGGTGAGCTCCTCCTGCCCGTGGGCACAGCGGCACTTGTCCCCATCTGGGCAGGCCTTGCCCTTCTGGAGCCTGTGGGCGGGAGGGTTTCGCTGCACACACCCTGGCCCTTTCTGCAACCTCTCCCTGGGATCTGGCCCAGGGCTGGAAAGCAGGGGGATGGGCAGGTCTGAGCCCCTTGCCCCATCTATACCCATACCTAACCAAAACCAACCTGAACCCACTGTCCTCGAGTCATTTCTGACTCATAGCAACCCTGCAGGACAGAGCACAACTGCCCCACGGGGTTTCCAAGGCTGTGATCTTTATGGACGCATTGAACATCAATGACCAGAGACCCGATGAGGTGTGGGATGACATCAAGGACATCATATGTGAAGAAAGCATACAGTCAATCAGAAGACAGGAAAGGAAGACAAGACCAAAATGGATGTCAGAAGAGACTCAACTTACTGCCATCGAGTCGGATCCGACTCATAGTGACCCCTCCTTGAGTTTCCAAGGCAGTATCACAATGGAAGTAGATTGCCCAATGTTCCTTCCGAGGAGTGGCTGGTGGGTTTGAACCACTAGACTTCTGGTTAGCAGTCAGATGCCTTAGGCACTAGGCTACCAGTCAATTATTATAATGAAATCTGCAAAGACCTGGAGTTAGAGAACCAAAAGGGAAGAACACGTTTGGCATTTCTCAAGCTGAAAGAAATGAAGAAAAAATCCTTGAGCTATAGTACTGAAGGATTCTATGGGCAAAATACTGAATGATGCAGGAAGCATCAAAAGAAGATGGAAGGAAAACCCAGAGTCACTGTCCAAAAAGAATTGGTTGATGTTCATTTATTTCAGGAGGTGGCATATGATCAAGAATCAACGGTATTGAAGGAAGGAGTAGAAACTGTACTGAAGGAACTGGTGAAGAACAAGGCTCCAGGAGTTGATGGAATACCCACTGAGAAGTTTCAACAAATGGATGCAGCTCTGAAGGCACTCACTTGGCTCTGCCCAGAAATTTTGAGTACAGCTGCCTGGCTAACTGACTAGAAGAGATCCGTATTTGTACCCTTTCTAAAGAAAGGTGATCCAAGAGAATGTGGAAATCATCGAACAATATCATTAGCATAACACGCAAGTAAAATTTTGCTGAAGATAATTCAAAAACAGTTGTAGCCATATATTGCCAGGGAACTTCCAGAAATGCAAGCCGGATTCAGAAGACGTGGAATGAGGGATAGCCTTGCTGATGTTGGATGGATCTTGGCTGAAAGCAAAGAATACTAGAAAGATGCTTACTTGTGTTTTATTGACTATGAAAAGGCATTCAACTGTGGATCATAACAAATTATGGATAACTTTGTGAAGAATGGAAATTCCAGGACACTTAATCGTGCCCATGAGGAATTTGTACATAGACCAAGAGGCAGTAGTTCAAACAGAACAAGAGGACACTGCATGGTTTAAAATCAGGAAGGGTGTGCATCTTGGTTGTATCCTTTCACCTTACTTATTCAACCTGTGTGGTGACAGATAATCTGAGATGCTGAACATGATACCAGGATCGGAGGAAGACCCATTAACAACCTGCGATATGCAGATGACACAACCTTGCTTGCTGAAAGTGATGATGACTTGAAGCACTTATGGATGAAGATTGGAGACTACAATCTGAAGTATGTATTACACCTCAACATAAAGAAAACAAAAATCCTCACAAGTGGACCAATAAACAATATCAGGATAAATGGAGAAAACATTGAAGTCGTCAGGGATTTCATTTTACTTGGATCCTCAGTCGATACCCATGGAAGCAGCAGTCAAGAAATCAAATGACGGATTGTACTGGGCAAAGGTGCTGCAAAAGACCTCTTCAAAGGGTTAAGATGCAAAGATGTCACTAAGACTAAGGTGCACCTCACCTAAGCCATGGTATTTTCAATTGCCTCATATGCACGTGAGAGCTGGACAATGAATAAGGAAGACAGAAGAAGAGTTGATGCCTTTGAGTTGTGGTGTTGGTGAAGAATACTGAAAATACCACGGACTGCCAGAAGAATAAACAAGTCTGTCCTGGAGGAAGTGCAGTCGGAATGTTCCTTGGAAGCAAGAATGGCCAGACTTTGTCTTGCCTACTTTGGTCGAATTGTCAGAAGGGACCATTCCCTGGAGAAGGATATCATGCTTGGTAAGGTGGAGGGTCAGTGAAAAAGGGGAAGGCCCTCAACAAGATGGATTGACACAGTGGCTGTGACGGTGGGCTCAGGTATAGCAGGGATTGTGAGGCTGGCACAGGACTGGGCAGCGTTTCACTCTGTTGTACATGGGATCGCTTTCAGTTGGAACCAACTCAGTGGCACCGAACGACAGCCCTCTTTATGGAAGCAGACTGCCACGTCTTTCTCCCCTGGAGCAGTGGTGGTTTTGAACTGCTGACTTTCGGGGTAGCAATCAAGCTGCACCACCAGGGTCGGCACACTGGCCTTACCACCCCTGCACTCCAGCTCCAGGGCCAGCCTGTGGCCTCCGCTGCATCAGGCCTACCCCGGCCTGCTGGGCCCTCCACGTGCGCCCCGCGGCCCAGCCTCCCCAAGGCACCTGTCGCAGAGCCGGAACTCGCCCATGGGGAAGCGGTAGGCCCAGCCGCTGGCGTCGCTGTCCGACGTGAAGACCTTCTCCTTGTGCTTCTCGGACTGGATGTGCTGCTGCCACTGCTTCTTGCTGTTGCTGTTCTTGCCGCAAAGCCAGCAGTGGTACCCCATCTGCAGGCGAGGCACCGTGGGCTCCCACACTGCCGCCCGCCCATCTCCTCCAGCCACCCTCCCGTCAGGCTTGCCAGCCCTGCTCGTCATCTGGAGGCACAGCCACCACGGGCGCCCGCCCCGCCACCTGCAGCCTCCTCCAGCCACCCTCCTGTTGGGCTCGCGGGCCCCTGCTCCCCCTCCCTAGCAGGGGCGTTACCATGATGTCTGCGTAGTCTGTGGGCATCTGGATGGGCTTCTCTCCTTCCCGGGAGCTGATCGGGGTCCCCTCCCCTGGCTTTCCAGGATTATGTTTCTTCAGCCACATGTCATAGGTCTGCTGCATGTCCAGGACTGCGCAGAGGCCAGGGACAGAGGGCCTGGTGAGGTGCCTTCTCCACCCAGTCTGCCCGTGACCCTGCCCATGGCTCGACTCCCTCTGCAGATCACAAGCCTGCTGGGCTGCCTGGCCCCAGCCTCAGCCCGCCACCGACCAGAGACCATGTGGGCGTGGTTGAGGTGCCGGAGCAGGTCCTGGGCAGCGATGGTGGGTAACAGAGAGTGCTGCGGCCTGCTGAGGCGCTGGGTGGCCCGCAGTGGGGAGGCCCCACCCTGCCCGCCTACCCACTCACTCTTGTTTTCCTTCATGAAGGTCCACATGTCCCTTTCCTCGGGGCTGTGTGCGAAGGAGCAATTCCCCACGTACTGGCATTTGCGACCGTTCTGCGCATGGATGCAGAGCTGTGGAAGGCCGTGGGGGGGCGGCTGAGTCTGGCTGTACGACCTTACTGCCTCCACCCTCCCACGCCCCAGGGCCCTCGGCCACCCATGTCGCCCTCAGCACTCACGTCGTATTGCTGCGGGAAGTTACGGATGGATGGCAGTGGTCGCACTGACACCCACTTCCTCTTGGCTTTGGACATCACCAGAAGGACGCGCCGCTCCTTGGTCCAGCTGCAGGGCAGAGTGGGAGGCTGGTTGGGGGAGGCTTGGGGCCTCCCCCACGGCACTAGGGCCCAGCCTGCTGAGCCCGCCCGGGGCTGCTCACCAGTGCCGGGCCTTGGCACTGCAGTACTTGAGGTCCTTGTCTGGCTCCACCACCTGCCCATTCCGCCAGCACTGGCCACACACGAACTTCATCTGTAGGTCAAAGGTACTGGGTCCGTGTGTCCGCGGGGTGCCCTGTGGAGGTGGGGAGAGGATCAGCACAGCCACAGGCACTGGGCCTTGCTCTGGGGATCTGCCACACACGATGCATCCGGGAGAGTCAGGGCTGCTGGGAGCCTTGGAAAGGGCCGGCCTACTTCCTGCTCTTCCCACTGCAGGCCACGTGGCTTCCCAGTGTGGGAGGCAGGCTTGGAAGAGCCGGTGACACCTAGCTCATTGGGCCAGCCCCCCACCCCCACCCCGCTGCATCCACACCCCTTGGAGCCTACGCTGTGGGACCGTTTGCATTGCCTTGGGCTTGGCACGCCACACACCTCCCTGCCTTTGCACATGCTGTTCCCTCTGCCTAGAATGCCCTTCTTCCATTCTTTATCCAGCTCGTTCCCAACTGTCTTTCAAATTCAGCTCAAGCACCACCTCCTCCAGGAAGCCTTCCCTGGAGCTCTCTCTTCTAACTCACAGGTGCCCACCCTCTGAGCTCCCACAGAACCTGAACTACCACGTGCCGTTCTCTCGTCCAACCATGAGCACTGGGCCTGGGAGGGAGCAGGGGCCACTGCAGAGGTGAGGGGCAGGGCCCTGGGCTTTGGTCCCTCCTTCCAGGCCAAAGCCCCACCATGTCCCTTCCCCATCCTCTGCCCCGGCCTTTTCTTTGCAGGCAGGAGAGCCTACTCCTTTGCAC